CCAATGTGAAAGAGTAAGATGCTTTGGGCTTCATTATTTTTCCGTTGGATATTGTTACTAACTCCATATTTTTTTATCGGTAGTACTCTTTAATCCATTCTTGCTTTGACATTATCTTTACTCTTACATTTAACATTCATAATTATATTAAAAATGTTATCCATGAAGTTCTTCTTAATGTACATAACATTAAGATTATACCTTATCAAATTAGTTCTCCAATATGATATATCCATAAAATAATTTTTTTAATCCAATTATATTGAACACCATATCCTGAATATTTAGACTCTTATAATATTGGAAAATTAATAATTGTTGGAATGTCAAAAAGTCTCTGTAGTACATTATCACCACTTAATCTGGGTGGAGGACGTGACCGCTCAACTCTATTTTAACGAATGCTTTTTTATTCTTTTGAAACTGATGATTAGCAATTATAAATATGCGATGACAATCAAACTAAGTATTTTTTTCTTCATGTTTTAGTGTGAAAGCTTTAGTATTCTCCATGCAGTAAGGACAAGCTAATTTTCATGCTGTGCTCCAACCAGACGACATACCATAAGCTGGAAAATCGCCAATGGTTACAACAATGCAGCTCGAAGGAGAAAATTTTATTTAGTTGATATGTTATATGTGAGAACTCCTTCTTCTCATAATAACTTGAGGTCATCAATTAATAGCTGCAAAAAAAATCAATTTTTGCTCTTGGATTATGTGGTCCAAGTATTATAAGAGTTAAGAACATGTACGGAGTAGTCATACACATCTCTGGTGGAAGGTTGTATGGTGTTAGTATAACTGGCCAATAAGAGTACGGTGTAGCTACTTGACTATATGGGGTAAAACCATCGGCACATAATCCCAATCTTATGTTGCGGGATATACAGTAGTAAATAAAGCATGCACTCGATCAAAATGTTTCCATGCTTCAGTATCTGATGGATGAGAAAGAATACCACCTTTTGCTAATTTCTCCTTATGTCATCTCATACGGCCTGCTGAACTCATTGAGGATAAAAGTTGCTGAAGTCTTGGAATGATCGGTAAATAAAATAAATGGGAATATGAAACATCTTTCTTTTGACGACGTTGTTTTCCTGAGTTTAGCTTAAACTGAGGAGCATTATAGGTGTGAAAATAAACTTCTGTTGTATCTTCCTTATAGTATAATATACAACTATTAATACAACAATCAATTTTTGTAGTAGTGAGACACAACTTGGATACTAATTTCTTCGTTCGGTACAAATATGAGGGAATTAAATTATCTGTTGGATTAGTTTTCTTGAGAAGACCCGTAAAGTCATTAAAATAATCTCAAGAAATATTATACTCAGTTTTAATACTTAGAATCATCACTACAATCAACAATTTTGAATGAGTATTGCAACCGTCTCAAATTAGTTTTTGAGCTGCATATAGTAACTCAAAAAAATTTTGGATTTCTACATTTGGTGGTTCTTCCACACTAGCCATTAAATTAAGACCTACTACATCAAAAATAAGTTTTCATACGGTCTACTCATTTGATCTTCATCAAATATTTCATAAGTTGTGGATGGACCGTAATGAGTATCTTTGTGTAACTCGTACTCACCATGTGATGTCCAAATCCAGTAGTCTGGAAGAAATCCCCTACGATATAAATTAAGCTTCACATCATTGGGCTTGAGGAATGCTTGATTTTTATGCTTCGAATATGTACATCTAAATATTTTATCAAACTTAAAGGAAGGTAGTTGAGAAGCAACTTGAATGAAAGTCTTAACTCCCTATATAAATTCATTTGATAATCTTTTTTGACCTGGTAATAATTTGTTATATATCCAATATCTCTTTTCTTGGATAGTCATTTAAACGTTGAAGCAAATGTCCTACTACATAGTTATGAAAACAATTATTTGAAGATATGCACCCTTAATAAGTGTACGTGCTATACTTTCAAACAAGTATACTTTACTTGAATTGAAATGCATTGTAGGTCTCACAACTATTGTGAAAGCCATTTTTCCTTCCAGGTTCGTTCGGACAAAGTTTTTCCTTCCAGGTTCGTCCGGGATGATCGGTTCAAAATCAAGTGACAGAGAAGTTCATCCCAGTACGAAGTAATTCGTCCGTACAAAATTTGTCCAGAGAGCAACTCATCCAGGAATGATAACTATTTCGTCTGAACGAAATTCATTCAGTGGGAAAATCGTCCCGGGACGATTTTGGATTATCCGGGACAATCTACATGGATATATATGGAAATTAGATCTTTTTGAAGAGATACAAAATCCAGGAGAGAGAAAGCCGAAGGAAAAAGAAAGAAAAGTAATTTTTGGGCGACTTCGGTCAGTTTCAGTCCGTCGCTGTAGTTGGAAAAGTTGACCGACTCGAGGTAAGGCACATTCCGTCTTTCTCAATTTTCAGAAACGTGAATTTTGACGACTTTTCTATCTCGGATTTTATTTCTGTTACCGAATATTTGGTTTCGTTTCGTACTGATGAACTTTTTACCTCGTAACTTTTAAAATATTTCTGAGATGATGTTTGTGCACTTTTTGAGTATTTCTGGGAGATTTTCATCAGTTATTTTAAATTCTACGGTGTTTTAATTGAATAATGAATTATCGGGATATTGAAAAATATTGCTTCAGCACAATGGAAGGCTTACAATGCTATTTTGTATTATCTGTGGTAATTTAGTAAATTTCTTAATCTGTGAATTATGTGTAAATTTCGTATACTACCGTTATGCCTTTGACGATTTTTTTGATGTAATCTGATTTTCTGATTTGAATGTTTTGATGTGTTGTGAATCAGAAGGGAGTTATAAGGGGCCGAAATCCTTTGTGATTCCGTTGTCTGGGTCAGGGACATCTGAAAACAAGTTATGTTCTAAAAATTCTATATATCTGTTATGTTCTAGTGCTATAAGCACAAAGGGAGACATAAGGGTCCAGAATCCATTGAGATTCTGTTTGTGTCAGGGAAGAGAAGCATAAGGGGCCAGAATCCGTTGAGATTCTGTCAGGGTCCGGGAATCTGATATGTGTTAGCTGATATGTGAAATATGATTTTATCTGATTTGAAATCTGATTTGTTCGATTCTGACTGTTCTGTGAGTACGATTCTGTCTGTTATGTGAAATCTGACTTGAATATTCTGTTATATGAAATTAATTTCATTTATGGTTTAATTTCAATTTGATCAAGTATCTATATTCTGTTGACTATTTGATTTATGTATGGTTAATTGAATAACTGCTTCTAAGGTGTTTTCTATGTGTGTTTCTGGATATTTTGATTGGTAAGTGTAGTCTTGCTGAGCTGTTAGCTCATCCTTGTTATCTACGTGGTTTTCAGGTTCTGGGAAAGGGAAGGAGATATTGGACTAGCAGTTCTGTGTCTTATTAGTGATTAGGTATTTTGTACTTTTGTTTTTTGTACAGTCATACCTTTGCTGTTTGTTCTTTCTATCGGTAGCCATGCACTGTATTGTACATGATTATTTTGATGAATGAAGAAAATATCTGATGAACTGTTCTGTATATTTGATTTTTTTAGTAGCTCTGTGTTTTTAGTAAGTTTGATATTTGGAAGAAAGTCTGAAGCAAGTTCCAAAACTAGATCCTGGATTTTCAACATTTGTAGCGGCCCGACGCGAAGGAATTTGTTCCGGTCGGGTTGGGTCATGACAATCTTTAGTGGTATTAGAGCGTAGTTTTGGAATTTGGATTATAAGACAGAGCTATAAGAATTGATCTGTAAGTTTGGTGGGGTAGTTTCTGTTTGTCTGGATTTTTAGGGGCTGTTTGGTTGCCTGAATTAGGAGGGTAAAGTAAAACAAATGCATGTATTTACTAAATTTGGCTATTTGGTTAATTTTGAGCATAACAAAAGGAAATCATTCGATGCATTTGTCGTGTAAAATGGAGGCTGTTTTGCGGGAATTAGAAACCCGCTCGATACGAGAGGGTTATAAATTCGCTCGACGAAGTTATGCTTGGCGTCGTTGCTGTTCGGCTTCATTGTTTTGCAGGTGGTGTAAGATTACACGAGAGGCTTCTTCTGCTCCTTCGTTCTTCTCAGACTTCGAGCGACGACGTTTCCTAAAGCCTGTCCGATCGGAAGTTGCGCCATTTTCATCAGAAGTAAGGACGGGAGCTCGAGTTTGCATCATCCTTGCTGTTCAGCTTCATTGCTTCGCAGGTGGTGTAAGATTGCACGAGAGGCTTATTCGACTCCTTGGTTCTTCTCATACTTCGTGTGAGGACGTTTTTAAAGCTTGTCCGATCAGAAGTTTGGCCATTTTCATCGGAAGTCAGGACGGTAGCTCGAGTTTGCATCATCGTCCCTGTTCGCCTTCATTGCTTCGCACGAGCTGTAAGATGTATATAGATATATAAATATATAAAAATTTCATTCTAATGGCATTTCGCTGAAGCACCCGCGCTTACACCGCAGCCCGCTTGCTCCATTTTTCTAGATCTGGAGCTTGATCACCGATCTCTCTGGTGTCTCCATTCCCTTCTACGAAACTCCGTTGGAGGTTATTTCTTCCTCTCTCTCAATTCATTATTCTTTATTCTTTCCTATAAGCATTCTGTACTTCCTACATCTCCATATTCTGTAATGGATCTATAATGGCCGAGGGCAGAAACTTTGTGTTTTTCTGTTGGATATTGACAAATTGTGGTTAGTAAGTACCTGTAACTTTTCTCAATTAGACTCACATTTCCTGAAATGCTAATGGGATTGTATATCGTCTAAAATATGCAAATATAGTTTTAGATTCGCTTTGTTTTGCAATTAGTACATTATGTGTACTATTGCTAGAGATTCAAGAAGAAAAAAAAATATGATCCTCAACGGAATATACAACGTGACACATATCTTTCTAGGTTGTATAATGGATGTGATTCGGACTGTGTTGACATGGTACGCATGAGGCGAGCGCCTTTTTTCAAATTATGTGATTTAATGCGTACACGAGAATTGTTGTTAGATACAATGAATGTTCGGATCGAGGAACAAGTTGCAATGTTATTACATACACTCGGGCATAGTGTTCGTAACCGAGTAATCCGATTTAACTTTCATCGCTCTGGTGAAACTGTTAGTAGGTACTTCAAAGCTGCATTACATGCTGTAGGGGAGTTACGTAATGAATTTATCAAGCCTCCACCACCTGAAACTCCATATAAGATTAAATCAAGTAATAGGTTCATGCCCTTTTTCAAGGTATAATCTGTTTTTATTCAATTAAATTTTCTATATGTTTTACGTAATCCTAATTTTATTATTTGTCAAATTTAGGATTGTATTGGCGCGATAGATGGAACTCATATTAAAGCTAGGGTTCCAAAAGAGAACGAAGCCGCGTTTAGAGGAAGGAAACCATACCCAACACAAAATGTTTTAGCAGTAGTAGATTTTGATTTAAAAATCACATACGTGCTTGCTGGTTGGGAAGGTTCTGCTCATGACGCAACAATACTTTAAAATGCATTAGAAAGATCAGATGGTTTACGTGTCCGAGCAGGTAAATATTATCTAGCTGATGGTGGCTATTCCACACGAAATGGTTTTATTTCACCATATCGTGCCACAAGATATCACTTGAAGGAGTTCAGTTCTGTTCAACCTACAAATTCAAAGGAGCTTTTTAATCTACGGCATTCCTCCTTACGCGCTACTGTAGAGCGTGCATTTGGTTCCTTGAAAAACCGTTTCACAATTATAAAATGTGAACCATACTTTCCTCTACAAACTCAAGTTGAAATTGTGATTCTGTTGCATACTGCATAATTCGATAATTACAGAAGGTGGCGATGAGTTCATTCAATCCGAAGATGAATGGGCTAGAATGAGTCACTGTAGAAGAAGATATCAAGCAGCTATAGATGATTCGCTAGAATGGCTAGATAAAAGAGATGAAATTGCTCAATTCATGTGGAGTCGCATGCAAAATGATGGATATTAGATTTGTTTCTTAACTTTTTGTAAATTTACATGTGACTTTTATCTTTCTTATCATTGATTACAGAATGATGTGCCTATTATAATTTGTTATTGTTTGATTCTTTTGTGAAGTACTTAAGTTGTAGTTTCGTTAATGCTTGTTATGTGAACTATAAATTGTTTGCTAAGGCATATTTGTGAAATGCACTCAAAAAACTTTACAATCAACTATTTTATGTTATTATTATTTGTTATTGTTTGATTCTTTTATGAACAACTATGCCAAATAAAAATACATTGTCATTCATACATTCAGTCCTTTTTAGGAGTTACATATATTTATACTATTTTATGTTAGGGAAGAATGAATTCGTCACAAACAGAGATGAACGGTAATTCGAAATCAAAGAGGAAAATTTTTTTTATGGAGCTTAAAACCTGAATGGATAACTGGATTGCTTCAAATAATGATGGAATTTGAAAATGCAAATATGCGAAGTGCACAAGGATTCAAGGACTTTGTTTATCATGGTGCAGCCCAAAAAATGAAAGAGAAGTTTGGAATAGAGGTGACAGGTGAGCAATGCAAGAACCAAATAAGGCATCAAAGAAGTGTGTGGAATCACATTCAGGAGTTAAAAAAAAATCAGGTGTATCTTGGGATGAAACAAAAAAAAATGATTGTCATAATTCAAGAAGAATATGCATCACATATTCAGGTATTATTTTAATCACATCATTTAAGTGTATATTTTTTTTCGGTTAACAGTTTTTTCTTTATTTCTTACAGGCTTTTCCCAAGGATACTGCTTATTTAAATATTGCAATTGCAAATTATGTAGAGTTGGAGATAGTATGTGGAATTGGACATGCAATTGGAGAGTGGGCGAAATCTGGAAATTCTAAAACTCCACTTGGAACGCAACAAATACATTTAAGCGATGATGAACCCCCATAATTTATGGATGTTGGTGCATATGGACCAATGGATATTGAGTGGTCTGATATGCAAGTTATAGAAAATTCTACTGGAACAACAAAGAAACCGCTCCCTTCATCTGGTATAGGAGGCGGCGTGAAAAGGAAGTCTAAAAAAGCAACTGTCGATCAAAATATCCATGAATGTATTTGTTTGATGGCTGATAGTGTTAATGAAGTTTCTAACGCAATAAAGAGCTCAATGACATCGCCAAAACAAATTCAGAGTATGTATAATGAACTGATGTTTGAGTTAACAAATATTCCTGGCTTCTCAGCAGAAGAGGTTGATACGATATATGATAACTTATCAAAAAATCTCACACTGATACCATCTTTCCTTTCAAAACCTACAGATTCGAAGGCTAGATGGATGCGTAAAGAGTTAGGAAACTGATTGAAGTTGGTTAAGATTTGCATATCTATTTAAGTTGTTATAACTATAAACTTTTTTGTTGTTATTTTGTTGTAATTTTAACTATGAACTATGGGTATATTTTTATATTTTGTTTTTGAATCGTACATTTGCACTGATTTTCTTTGATTGTGGTTTAGCTTGAGAAGCAAAGGTTTGCTCCATATCATTGAATTCATTTGGCTACTACTTTATTATTGTTTTCTCACTGTTTTTCAAAAAAAAAAAAATATGATGAAAAGTTGATTTTTACATTCATAGTTACTGTGAAGTAAGCTTCCATTTCATTGTTAGTGATTTAAAAAATTTTAGGCAGCACATGCCAATGATATTTCAGGGTATTTCTGGTTCCTTACAGTCTTGTTGCATTTTTTTGGAAGAAAATTCAATTACTCTGATTTATTTGACATAAATGCAATAGTGCTGCTATGATTTACAACAAATGTTAATTGTTGTAGTTTCAAAATATGGATTTGGCCCATGCTCGAAAAGGATACATTTAACTGTGTGTATGCTCTGTGGTTGCACTTGGAGCAAATCACACTTAAGTGCACTTAAGAATTTAGGAACTGTTGTGATCTATAAAACTTTATATTTCCTTCTCAATGCTCATAATCTTATTCTGAATTCTGCTGGGTTTTTTTACTGCTGCTTGTGGAGATCTGCTACCAATTACTAGGTAGCTCAGTAGCTGTAGTGGATTCTGTTCTATAACTTCGATCTTCCCTGGCCGACGTTCTCTATATTTTTTTTTATATTCCCGTAGTGCTCTGTCTCTCACAGTAATCTTGATTTAGTGGATTTGGTTCTGTTGTGGATTCAATAATCTTGAGCTTACTTACGTAGTGGCTGTGGTGGAATCAATTCTATTGTGGCTGATGTTTTCTGGACTTGAATTTTCTGCATAGTTTATGGTTCAATTTTCAAATATCAGGTTGTTGAACGCAGACTTTTATGCTTCATAAATGTTTTGACGTGGTTCCTATTGGAGTTTGTGGAGCTTATGCCATATGGTTTGGAGTTTCTTACCTAGTGGTTGATGGGTTCATTCGTTCAGTTATAGCTGATGCTTTTTGGACTTGAATTTTTTGCATAGTTTATGGTTCAATTTTCTAATGTCTACTTGTTGAATGCAGAATTTTATGCTTCATAATTTTTTTGACTTAATTCTTGTTGGAGTTTATGCCATATGGTTTGGAACTTTCTTACCTAGTAGTTGTGGTGGATTCGGTTCTGTTGCGGCTGATGTTTCTTCTATGGTGGATTTGATTCTGTGGTGAATTTGTTTCTATTAAGCGGGTGCCAATATTAATTGTTCAACTGTTTTGATGTTTCTTCTATGGTGGATTTGATTCTGTGGTGAATTTGTCAACTTTTTAAATTTTTGAGAACATTGGAACGGCTTCCATGATTATGAAGAGGGAGCTGAGCATGCTCTTACGCATCTGTCTTTTTTTATGTGGCAATCTCATATATTCTTGTTGAACTGTGATGTTTGCTGCAGCTTCCCACTACCACAAATGCTTGGTAAGACTCGTATTTAAATGTAGTATATGCGCACGTCATTCAGCACCCGAGCACTTCTCTTCATTCTTTGTACTGAAAAGCTGTTTTACAAAGCAAGAAGAAGCTATCCCAAACAAAGTTTAAACAATCGGTGATTAGTTTTATAAATACATAAGTTATAATGAAAAAAAAAATTACAAATGCACTATTTTTACTTTACTCTTGATACATCTAACCAAACAAGGGAAATATTTCTCCTGCGTTTTCTTTGCAGAGAACCAAACAACCTCAAAGTATTTACTTTACACTGCATTTACTTTACATTGTGTTTACTTTGAAGGCAACCAAACAGCCCCTTATTATTTTTGTTTTATATACATGTGCATAGTTGCATTCTATGTGATTATGGATCTGCTAGACCCAGATATGACTGATGGGCAGAGTGCTAGCCAGGCAGCTCATGTGAACAGTACTGCCCCAGTAGTTGGTTCTGATATAGTTTCGCAATTTACAACGTTGGTTGCTCAGATGATGAGTGAGACTAAGAATAGAGCATCTGTTGTTAGATCTGAAGATGCAGATAGACATCTATAAATGTTTCTGAGATTGAAGCCTCCGAGGTTTGAAGGCACTGTTAAGCCCAGAGCAACTGAGGAATGGTTGAGAAGATTGGAAAAGATATTTGACGGTATGCAATGTCCTCCGGATAGGAAGGTACCGTTAGCTATTTTTATGTTGGATGGGGAAGCAGAGTGCTGATGGACAGGCCAGCAGGAGGAGAAATTCCAAGGTAAACTGAACTCTCTAATTACTTGGGAAGAATTTTCTGAAGTATTTCGATCGTGGTTTGTACCCCCTTCTGCAAGACAGCAAATGCATAAGACTTTTTTGAGGTTGGTTCAGGGGAGCAGGATAGTGATGCAGTACGAGGTAGAGTTTACTGCTTTAGCCAGATATGCTCCACAGTTGGTTAGTACTTATGCTGAGAAGTGCTATAGATTTTTGAGGGGACTACGAGATAGTCTGAGGCAGCCCCTGGTACCATTTCATATTTTTAATTTCTATGAGCTTGTTAAGAGAGATCGTCTAATAGAGAATGATCTAATGGCTACTCAGCAGTGGTGGACTGCTAGTAGGAAGAGATTCAGTGGTGATGCTTCTAGCAGTGGTTTTTCTGGAAAGAAGAGATTTTTTTTTGGAGACTTCAAGAAGAGTGGACAGTCAGGATCCACTACAGCTTCTGGTAGTAGCAGTATGACCAGTTCTGGGTCAGTCAGTGGGACACCTGTGTGTCAAACTTGCGGACGATGACATTTTGGCCAGTGCTATAGGATGATTGGTCAGTGTTTCAGATGTGGTCAGCTAGGACATCGGATTGCAGAGTGTCCATAAGCTGGATTTGATCGGCGATCTGAATCCAGATCAGAGAGCTTGGTTAGATCAGTCGGAAAACCGAGGACAGTTCCTCCACGTACTGTTTCTGAAGACTCATCTGGTAGAGCTGGTGGTTTGGGTTCTGTGGTGAGGAGACCACCTAGTGGTAGCCAAAGGGAGTCTAGTGGTTCTGTAGCTCAAGCTCCAGTTCAGTCACAAGTGTACAGTTTGAATCAACAAGAGGCTCGAGATGCTCTGGATGTGGTAACATGTACGATTTTTATTTTTGAACACCCCTGTCATATTTTGTTTGATTATGGAGCCAGTCACTCGTTTATTTCTGACCGCTGTTTTGATGCTTTGCATCTGGATTCTATTACGCTATCGGTTTCTCTTTCCGTTCTTTTGCCGGCTGAGAATAATTTGATTGCCCGAAAGCTTTGTGTTTGTGAAATTGATATTTCTGACAAGAAGTGGAAGTCGTGTTTGATTTTATTGCTGATTTCTTCATATGACGTGATTTTAGGTATGAATTGGCTGAGTCTGTATGAGGCTCAAATTGACTGTTTGAAGAAATAAGTGGGCATGCTTATGGATGGTGAAAGATGTGTATTTCAAGGGTTAAGAGGAGTTTTATCCTGTTTGATTTCTGTGTTGGAAGTTAGGAGAATGTGGAAGAAGAGTTGTTCGATGTTTTTGGCATCAGTACGAGATATGAATGTAGATTCGGGTTCTATTTCTGATATCTC